ACTTAAATTTCCCACGTTTCCGGACGCGTAACTTCTTCGCAAGACATTTTAACCAATTTTAAATTACGAAAACTCTAATTGATTCGAATTACAATTGTTGTTGTGAAAATTCGAACCTCAAATATTTCGTGGTTAGTGTCAGACCAACCCATCACCAACCACGACAAAAGTCCCCAGATTAAAAAAAATGCAAATTTTAATTAAATTTTGGGAAAAAACGTGTGCGGTAGAAAAAATAGTATAAATAACTCGTTCATAAGGCCATTGAGGCACTCATCCTTTATATAACTCGCGGCTTCGCCGCTCGTTCTATAAACTTGGATTCGTGCCTCAATATTTGCCTTATGAAACTCGTTCTTTAATATACTATTGAATAATTACTTCACACAGCACCGCATAATCTGGTAAACTGTCTCTGCCAATATTTTTCAACCATTGTGTAGACGCCTTTCAGTCGACTTCGGTACTCTCTAAAAATGCACTCCCATTCCATCTCTATTGTAGCAATTTTTTGCCGAACAACAAGGCATTTTTGTAAAATTACAATTTGCGTGAATGACAGCGCCCATCGCCATCTCGCGTTAAGAAAATCGTTAATGTAGCCTGTCAACACTGCTGTCAGTTTTATGTCGTTACTTATATTCTGACATCCACTTGCTTTGAATTACTCAAGAACACAACGCCATCACATGGCTATCTTGCCACCTAAAAAACTGCCACTGAAATAACCGCTGGTCGGATTAAATTTTCGTAAAGCCAAAGTGAAGTGAAAAGTGATCAAATGATGTTTTTTTTTTTTGTTAATATAAAACTGAGGTTAACCTGTTAAGAATAGAATTTAGAGCATTCTGTATTTGGCCACAGTCGCTTTCATGATTGACTTCGGCAATATCTTAAGATCATCAGCATATAAGAAGTATCAAAATCGACCATTGAGAAACGCCCGACGATTATTAAAAGGTTCTTGAAGTATAACCTAGAAGCTTAACAAACAACGACCTATTATTTAAATATGATTTGAATAGTGCAAATAGAGATTTAGAAAAACCATTAATGTTCTAGATTATTCGGAACAATAAGATGATTAAATACTCTCAGACGCCACAGAAAAATCCGGATATATAACGTCCACCTGCCCACATCTGACCAAAGATTCAAATATAAATTGAGTTTCACAGAAGAAGTTCGTAACCGTGGGCCTTTTATTTATAAAATCGTGCTGGCTATGAGTTAATAAATTAGAGGTAAGATAAGCAGTAAGTTCCATTCATGACGAATTCAAAAATTTTCACAAAATTATGCATTACAGGAATAGGCGTATAGTTCTCACTAACATACAAATTACCCTCTATACACCGGACAAACGCGAGACAATTGAAACATTCAGGTTTAATACCAGTGGATAAAATTATGTTGAATAAGATACACAGATTTGGCTAAAGACAATAGTGTGACGAGCCGTCACTAAATTCGTTCACGAGAAAATTGTAACTAAAAAGACTAATAACAAACCCTCAAAACATATGTAAGACGATTCCTGGCCAGATAGCGGCTTTAGCGCAAATTATCAACAAATATTCATTATCAATGACAGTCAAACGGCTACAGCCAATTGCAAACTACAGATTCACTCACCCCTACATGTGACGCTCTAGTACAGGTCCGGCCCCGCGACAATTCGGCCCCAATCACGAATATGAAAACAGACACACCTGACTTCTCTGTCGCTAATGATTAACAATGGGATCACTCACCGGGGGGTCTCTACCCCCTAGCCCACTCCTTGTCGATCAGCGGTCCCAACTCACGGCGTCGTCTTCAGCGCGCGGTCTTCTGGTGATATTGTCGAGTTACCTGTAATCGCCCTAGCCGTACAGTTTGGGATGTACTGCCCGCCCACAGCCTCCTCAGAAGGAGCGCTGTCTCGGCCAGAGTGGAGAGGACACCTCCACGTCCATACGTCACTATGTTTCCTCCAGAAACCGGGTTAATCTCCCAACCTAACCAGCAAACGTATTCTCTATTGCATTCGGTTGCCACCACCGCCACCACCGATCGGTCAACAGCCAGGACACCCCTTTCACGGCTTTCGCCAACCTGCCGTGTCATGAGCCAAAGGCGCCCCACCTGAGTACGCCCTCAGTGCTCAGGTACATACCATGGTATCTGCCGGAGATTTTACGCGTTCACATTACTCTCGTGGCCCCAGGTTTACCCTAACCTGCCACCTTCTCTTATCAACACCTTAACACCCAACTCTTTGGGCTTAACACTCAACCCGAGTCCGGCCCTGTCACCACACAGCTGGGCCTTCACGCCCACCGCTATTTTACACACTCTCACGGACTCTGACTAACTTGGACTAACTGCCCTCAAAATGCACCCTCTGCATCTGAGATATGTGTCTTAAGTGGGGGTTAATTATTAAAACTGATTGGTTTGTCGCCTTAAAGACCTGCACTAAAAATTCCGCTTACACATAACTAGAAAATTTGCAAATCTTAATTAATTAACACGCATGTTCTAATCGGCATATAGTACCATTCAAATAGATAAACAAAATCAACCATCAATCCCCAAATGCAGGAACAAAATTCGCGTATTCGCAAATTGCGAATAACATTGCGCTTGCCAGACATTGCAAATAACTTGTACAAAATAATACGCCAGAAACATCGCCAATCGCAATTACTTTCATCTAAAATTGTATCCAAACTAAAACAGCTGCAAACGAAACCCAGACACATAAACAACCTCAGAAAAAACGCCCTTTTTAAAAATAGCTACAACAAGCTAACCACATGTAGCGATGACGACATGAAAAGCATGACGCAAGTTGAAAAAACCCGAAAATATACGACACACTAACCAATAAAAAACGTCAGCCGCGGAACCATAATTAAAAGCTAAACCCTATAACACAACGAAATAAAACCTAAAATCCCGTACCGAGTAATACACTAATCATGAAGAAATATAGTCCACTAAAGTCACGAGAGACAAGAATAATGAGTAAAAATCCCTATATAAGCAGTAGCGCCGAAAACGGTTTAAGCAGAAGTTTCCAGTTGCCGCCGAAGGCTCTGTCCAAACCGGTGTCGAGATTTTTATTAATTTTTGCTGAATTTTGAAGAAATCCGAACTTAGAAGAATTTGCTGAGCCCGAGAGGAAGATAGAAACATTCTCAATGCTGCAGCTGTGTAAGTCTACCTTTTAGTCATTCTTAGTTTATCTTGCTTTCCGTTTTTTTTCGTCATGTGTTCTCGAGTTCGAATCGTACATGTGTAGCGTTTAATTTATGCGTTTTCTCCGTTACGTTGGGTGTGAACAGTTAGCGCCGGCACCGAAAGTAATCTCTAGTGCTTCCATATGTTCCCGTTTGCAGGTGGCACATTTAGCCTTGCGTCGGTTCTTGATTATTGGGGAGGATTTTTCGAGAAATTACCGTTTGCTTTTATGATAATTATTCCAAATTTCTGTAAATTGCCGATTTAACTCTTTTGCTTGCGACATAAATATTTTATATGCGTTTTTTTGAGAGGATTTTTCTGATTTTTACCATTTGCTTTTATAATAATTATTCCAATATCTCTTTAAATTTGCCGATTTAATTCTTTGCTTGCGACATGAACATTTTATGTGCGTTTTTGGGAAGTTCCCGAATTGAAGCCTATTAATCTAATTTTCTAGCTATCGATTATTTTTATATTGAATTTTTGCCGTTTAAATATGACTCCGTTCTCTGATTATTTTGCTATAGTATTTGGAAACCTCACATTATATTTTATTTTAATCGTCTCATTGTATTTTAGCGCATTTATGATACTAATGTCCCAATGTTTAACTGCATGTATAAATTATGACTGTTTATTTTTACATGTATCTACCTGTCCTGTAACCATCAATTTTTCTCGTGAACGATTGTTGTGCTTGGCATATTTAGCTAATCGATGTATGTGAAAATTTATTTATCTCTCTTTTTACATGTTTATATTCATAAGTTGTCGTAGATTTAAGTGCATGATTTTTACCCGTTATTTTACTTGTTCTTATGATTTAACTTATATATATAAATGCCCAATCGCAATTTATTTAAATAATTAAGTAATGATTCCATTTAGTAGTTAGTAGTTTATTTTTTTTTGGTTATTTATCATGCTCTTAATATTAATGTTGTTTAGAAGGTATCGCATTTAATTAAGGATTTACCGAATTAATTTTTAGTGTTTATGCATGCTGATTTTTCTAGGATTAAGTTTATTAATTAAAAATGTGGGTTATGTTCATAGATTTTAAGAGTTTTATTAGTGGAATATAATTGCGTAGCGCTTTAGAAGATAGTTTTGCATGTTGTTTTGTTTTTTCGTGTTATGTGTGTGAATTGATTTTATGTATTATTTTTCTGTTGATTATTTACACATTTACTCGATTATTCTTTTGACATGCTTATAATGCTTTCTTTAATATACGTATAAAAATGTTATAAATGTTTAATTACTACTTCTTCCCCTACATGCAGTTTAGCTCTTCCATTTCCAAGGAAATGGGCCTACACCCAAATAAATAATTTTGTTAGTGTCCAAAAGCTCGGCTGCGGTCAAAACTATTTGGGCACGACAATAGCACAATCTTTGATTATAAATGTTGGTTTTAAGTCAGGTTCTGCTGTCATTGTCAGTTTTAGGTAAGGCTTCTCTCTAAAAATAGTTCAATAGAATTGGTGATAGAACGATAGAACGTGTAAAGCGCCAAGGAATCTCACTATTGGTGGTCGGGCCCTGGTATCCCAGGTTTGATCCTTCGAACTGGAAAAGCTTGCTTGGATAAAGGTTCTGACTCAGCCTTACTCATATCGTATGGGAGGCGAGGAGCAGCGTGCTCTTTTAGAGCACAACTTTATGGAGTACGTAATGGGAAAATGCAGCAACTTACAACTTAAAGCTCAAATTATTATAAGTAGTGAAGTAATGTCAGAATAATATTATTTATTTTCCCTCATCAAACCACTAGCATATAGGTAAATATTTTTAAAGTAAAGTGTTGCCATAAATTCCTGATTGTTTTGCCATTTTATAAAACAAACCACTTTGATTCTTCAACAAAATTTGAGGATTATCATATTCAACAACGTTGCCGTTATCCAAAACTAACACTTTGTTGCAGTCCATAACAAATTTTAATTTGTGGGCTATTTTAATAATGGTGCAAAATTTGAATTGTTTCTCTATGATGTTATAAATTAAATTTTCAGTTTCACTGTCCACATGTTCGACTATTTCGTCGACAGCTAATATTTTATTTTTCTTTATTAACACTCTTGCCAAACACAGTAATCGTTTCTGAGTGCAGCTAAACTCAAATTCTTTAATATTAGCATCCAAACTTGAAATAAGTGTGTCTAATTTCACAGTCTTTAGAGCATTCCAGATTTCTTCGTCCTTGTGTATTTTATTTGGATCTATATTGTACCGCAGTGTTCCGCTGAGCAAGAATGGATCTTGTGGAATCAAAGAAATTTTGGATCTAAGAAAATGTAATGAAAGTGTTTTAATATCAATACCATCCACAATGATTCTTCCTTTAATTTCGTACAAACGGAAGAGTGCTGAGATAATTGACGATTTACCAGCTCCCGTGCGCCCCACAATTCCTAGTTTCTCGTTAGGTTTAATATGAAAATTTAAGTTCTTTAGTACACTTGACTTAGAATTACCTATATCAAGGTAAACATTTTCGTATTTAATTTCACCTAGTGTTGGCCAGTTTTTGATCTCTAATCCTGATTTAGACTCTTTCTGTATATCTGTATATTCCATAGCACGTTCCACTGATGTCATTTGTGTTTCTAAATCAACCCACTTGTGCATTCCAAAGAAGAGCACTATACAAACTGCAAATGACTGTGAAATTGCTAATCCGACTTCGCCAGGTAGCACATCTGTAATTATTTCTTGAAATCACTGTTATACACAAAATGAAAATACCTTTGCCAAAAATTATAAATTGCAAAATAACCATAAAGACGAAAATGGATGCAAGGATATCTGCCACGAACGCAAAAGCTTTCATGCAAGCAGCATGCGAATAGGAGGCTGAATTATAAAGGTTGTGATGTGTCTCAAATTCCTTCTTGATAATTTCTTGCGCATTAAAAGCTTTAATAGTTGGCAGTCCTTCTAATGTAGCGTTTAGATATCCGACAACAGGACTTTTGGCTAAAAATTAAAGTCAAAATTGAATTTAATAAAATGTTGTTAAGTTTACTTGAAGCATCTAATCTTTTTAATGGTCTTCCTGTTTTAATATAAACGCATCTAAAAAGTGTCAGGCCCACGAAAAGCAAGCCGATGGGTAAAAGTAATCTTATATTGGTAGAGGAAATAAGTAGAATATTTCCAACAGTTTCAAAGACAATCTAAAAAAGTTTTGGTTCCATAAAAATGGCTCGAATAGAACGTATATACTACAGCTAGCAGATGGTGTAGAGGAAACGGAATACTTTCATCAACGCTATCAAGATCTTTTGAAAATCTATTCACAATATTTCCTAAAAACGTAGTGTCAAAAAAATTAAGACAAGCATTAATAACGCAGTTCAGCATTTTTTTATGTAGGGTCACTGATACCCTTCTTGAAAATAAAAACAAAATACATCCTCTGATTAATGTAGCGACAGATAGCCCGACAACTGCGGCACCGTAGGTATGCAAAAGTTGATTACGATCTTCTGTAAGAATTGAATAAGATATGCTGTCAACCGTGTGATTAATTCGTGAAATTTTGTCTTCCAAATTTACCCTAAAATAAAAACATATAATATTCAGGAGTCTTCTTCTACACCTTCTATGTACCAGTCGCTTAATAAGTTATCTTTGTAACTTACTATTAACTGAGTTAAAACGAAGATACAAAATATAATAAAAAATGTAAAATATCCTCCCATGCCTACATATTTCATGTAAATCTTCAGAGGAACTGAACCCGATATTTTTAATTCTCCATAAATTTTATTTGTTTTTGTCGTTTCGATTAACTTGCTTTCTTCAGAATCAGCAGAATTAGTTTTTGGGTTAGATTCTTTTAAAATGGCACAAACATTTGGAATGAATTTTGGATCGTTATTTTGTACATTATCTGACAAATCGTTTTTCCAAGTGGTCAGATTTCCATTGCCTAGATTTACAATGGTTGCAGCATATTGGCTTAAATCCAAATAATGACTCACGAGAAATACTATTTTGCCATGCAAAAGTTTTAAAATGCAGTTTTTAAAAATGTGGTCAGCAACTAAAGGATCTAAACTCGACAAAGTGTCGTCTATTAAATAAATGTCGCTATCTTGATATATAGCCCTGGCTAAGTTAACCCTGCTTCGCTGACCTTTGCTCAAATTGCTTCCACCATCCGCCACAATAGTGGAATCCCCATTTTCTAGTAATTCTATGTCATATTGTAAATCACAAACGCGTAAAACCTCTTGGTAGCGTTTATGATTATAGCTGTTTCCGAAAAGTATGTTTTGTTTAATGGTGGCAGGAAATAACCAAGGTTCTTGTGATGCATAAGATAACTTGCCTTCAACAAGTAATTTGCCTTCAGATACTTTAAATTCTTTTAAAATTGTCAACAGTAGCACACTTTTGCCACTACCGGCAGGTCCGGTAATTAGAGTCAATCCTGTATATACTTTAAGCATAACATTTTTAAAAACCGTTTTATCTTTGATCATAAGCTTCACATTTGAAAATTCGACCTTTGGTTTCTTTGTTTGAAATGCGTGACACGTTTCTTCGTCCTTCGTTTCTAATGTGTGAGCTAAAGTTTGCATTCTTTTAATAGCAGTAATTACTTGGGATAAACTAAATGTAGCATATGGAATTGTAAATGATATTGTATGATAGACAGCTAGCAAACTACCACTGATAAAGTACATAATTTCCGCCGTCAAGGTTTGACCCGTCCAGATGTTAGCCATTACAACAATATAAAATGTTACGTTGTTAAGTATGATCCCTGTTGTCACAGATAGAAACAGTAAAATAAAAATTTTAAACAAAATAGACATTTCGTTCCTAAAAAATCTGGTGTTTACTTTGTCTTCATTTAAAAAGAACACTTACTTTCTTGCCAGAGATATTTTGTTTTCCGCATGATCTTCCCACGCATATATTTTGGTGTTTCTAATGTTAGCACAAACGTCTCTAAATTCATTGAGCCTTATGTCGGTTTTTTTAGATGTTTCTCTCTTGAGTGAAGAGATCCATAATCCTACAACAACTGTAAACCAAAGAAAAAACTAATGTGACACGAAATTATTTATCTGTAAAACTCTTGAAAGGGAAGGTGAGATTAAATCTCGTAAAAATCGTAGTGTATCGAATAAAAGATAAAAACCACCCGTAAAATTAGCTCGAGTTGGTGAATACATTACAGCACCCCAACTTCCTTTTGAAATTAAAACTATTTCATATGGTTCCTAAATTAAGTCGTACGTACCCTGAAGTGGAATAAATACAGCAAATGCAAGAACTGCGATGGCAGCTGGTAAACCAATACTTGGAAACATGTTGCAACATGAAATTATCGCAATTATGAACCCAGACCACGCGTAAGTGAAGTTAAAGAAGAATTGTTCGAATACACTGATGTCTCTTGTTATCAGATTTGTTACATTGCCAAAGGTAATGTGACGTAAGCGACTTACGGGAAGTTTAAGAAATTTTCGGTAAATCAGTGAACAAAACGCGGTGCGAATCTTGATGGTTAAATTTTCTATCAAGAAAAGATAGTTTTGTCTACAAATCACGTCAACTATTTGAAGTGCAAACAAGAATATAGCGTAGAACAAAGCATTCATTTTAGTTAAACTTTGTTGGTCTGGAGTGAAAAAGAAAACTAATTTTCCAATGATAATGGGACGGGTAACGCTAAAAGCATACACTAAATTCGTTTTTTATTTATGAAAATGAACTTACTTGAGTATGATAGTAAAAAGCATGTTCATACTGAGGATGCAGTAATATTTGCCATACATTTTCCACAAAACTAAAAACATTGCATTCTTATGTTCTTTATATTGATTCCACATGCGTTCTGCATGATCTCCGAGTTCGGACGTGTTAAACTGAGGAAGCACTTCGTACAAATCTTTTTCTTCGAGCTCTCGTTTAAATCCTATTTTAAACAAGTCATAAGTATACCTTAAATAGAACAATGGAAGATTTGAATAGATTAGTTTAAATTAATTAATAACCAAAAAGTTAATTTGGAAATTATATTTGCTGTTTGCCTGGGGTTATTTTGCCTTTCTTCCGTCTTTTTTCTATTCATTATTATTAAAACACTAACAATAGATTGGTAAGGAATTGCGATATTAGCAGTGACAATTTTTAGTGAGCTATTTACACTGTTTAAGTTTTCTATTAGTCCTTCACAGTGTAGGTAGTAGTACTTTATCACCAATTTAAATTTACGTAAGCAGAATTGGTAGCAATTGACCGTTTTTATACCTGGAACAAAACGTTAATGTCATGGATAAAAATAATTAATGGTCTTATTATAATAGGCAGGGGAAACTGGGGTAACTGAAGTCAGTTGTTAAGTGTACGGATGGTGTTATAAGGCATTGCGAATATTATAAAATTCAAAACTCGTACCGTCATCGTCATCTAGACTTCAACTCATATGACTAACTCAGTTGAATTTCATTAATATGGTAATGTTTAAAATAACCCGTTATTGTTTCTGCTTTTAGTACTCACAAAATAAACCCAGCTTAACAACTAGGTCGCACAAGAAGCATTTTTTTGTGTACACACATATATTTTTTTTAATCAAAACCTGGTATCTGGTATTCTAGATGCTATGAATGTATAAGCGAACTTCTGCTAAAGGCAATTAGACTGTTGAACAACTCAAAAGAGCAATTGCTACAGTAAATACAGGTTGGTGTGCCCGAAGAGCCGCCGGTACAAAGTATAATATTCCCGAGGAAACAATTAGGAAAAAAATTAAGCGAAGCTCCGATACAAAAAAAAACATTTAGGGCTGCATTCTAATCTTTAAGCAATTACAAGAAAAATATATAGAAGGCCATGTAATTAAGATGGCAAAAAGGTGTCACGGATTGAAGCCACTGGCCACTGACTACGGTCAGCCCCCATAAATTAAGAATCCAGAATCCAGAATCCAGAGGCGTGGAGTTTCGAAAATTAGCATTTAGTTATGTCCATGGCAACCACATTAAAAATAAGTCTAATAAAATAACACACACCGCTGGAAAAGATGTTTATTACTGTTTTTGTAAACGCCATCCTAATATCCCCTTAAGAAAACCAAAAGGAACTAGCTTAAACAGAATCAAAGCTTTTAATGAAGACGATGTTAACCTGTTTTTTTTAATATAGGTAGTATTTTAAAATAATGTGAAGATGGTAGAACACTAACCAACATTTGTCTAATCGTCCCCACCAATAATGTGATGACGTTCTCTCAAAATTTTTAATATTATGTAATACAGTATTTTATAAAGGTTAGAACAAGTGATAATCCGAAAGTCTGAAAAATAGTGCTGATGAAATAAAATATCCCAACCACTATAAGAGTAGTTTCCTGTAAGTCTGCACAAACAAATATTGTTCCGTTGACTTATTTACCCTCAAAAGCGTGTTTTTTTTTATTTTAAGTTACCAATAAATAGTCAAAACAATTGACTAGCCAATGTTAAGTTTGTGATTTGTTCCTTGATGACTATCTCTCCAAAACGAAATTGTACAAACCATTTTTGGCAGGAACATTAACCTACAACATTGTCACCATACACTTTCTTTCTTTCTGGCGGAGTCTTTTCGAAAAAAAAAGATAGTAATATTCTTTATCTACTTTCATTATGTAATGTGCCAGATTACAGGTTTTTCTTTGATATTGTAATGGTAGTTTTTACCGCACAAAGTGCGGTAAAGGAACAATTACCGCACTAGTGCGGTAAAGAGTGACTTTTAGAAAAGAAAGTTTCAAAACCATTTATTAACATAAATTACACAGTTTGAAGCATTTATAAAGTTAACACCAGACGCTGTTCCCATGTTGAAGCTGGGCTTCTCCACCGTGACCTAATTTGTTGAACCCACAGTAACTGAAGAACCCGTTATTTTCGTAGCAATTATTTTCTTATTTTCGACAGATGTTTCAACATATCCTTCTGCCATGCTATCCGACTTCCAGCCCCTATGACCAAGCAATATGTTAATTATTCCCCGAAAATTTCCTCTCGGTATAGCAAATTCTACATAATTTTAGTTTTTGAATTCAGTAAGGTGATCTTGATAAATTCTTTTTCGGCTCTAACGTCTCGTGTAGTAAAATTTGTCATCTCCTCGTGTCGACAAGCACCAAACACTCCGACTATCAAAACAACTTGAAACTATATAAATTTGAGATTGTTTTTTATCAATATGAACAAATAAACGATTTTCTGGGTCGGGAACCTTCTGATTTCCGAGAAGAAAGCCACAACCTGATGATATTCAGAAATATCAACATTCTTCGTAATCAACACCAAGGTTCGCAACATGGAATATCGGCACCATAAGGAGGATGGTTTTAACTTCTCTGCTTGTTCAGCAAAATAGGAATGCATCACCTTGTTCAGAAACGTCACCAATTTTCTTAACTTCCATTCATTCATCAAAATATTTGTACGCTATCTCGTAACGTTCTTTAGATTTACCAGGAACTAACGTATCGATGGCAGATTGAGTAGCCACTTCAATATCGGAAGGCAAATTATCCTCTGAATCACTAATTTTTGCACATAAATTGCTTTCACTGAACGCTTGTGAAAAACGTAAACAAATCAGTAACTACGGTTAGTAATTTAGCCGCCTTATTTTTTCTCCATAAACACAATTTAAAAAATTACAAAAATATCTGTGTTAATTTTTATGAAAATTATTGAAAGTAGATAAAACGTTGTACAATATTTGTATCGTAATGTTTCTTTACGATCCTTGATGGATTATCCAACTCGCCTTCGGCTCGTTGGACAATTTTTCCATCGCGTATCGTAAAATTCCACATTACGATACACATATCGTAAATATCTATTACTTCCTTCCATTTTCACACAGAATTTACGCAGACTGTACTTACATGAAAATAGTACTTTTATCACTGAACATGCTCGAAAATATTGTCTTTCCCTACCCATATCCATTTGACATTTTCATAGAGTTAACTTTCTGTATATGCATTTTAACAGCACCCATTTGAAAAAACTGCACGCAATTTCGGGTCGCCCTCGTAGATAAATTTCCCACTTTTAATTATTATTTGTGAAAACATAGTTTTTTTCATTTTTTAAAATTCAAAGTAGTGTGTAAATAATTTATTATGAATTCATGAGTCATGATGTACAGAAGTATTTAAAGTTAAGTCCTTTTTTATTCTCTTTTTACGTAAGTTACAGAGGTCAGTAGGCACATCAAGTGGGTCACGTTAAAAATGTTTATAGTCTTGCATAAATTTTGCAAATTAACAGTGTTGCTTGGAATAATGCATGTTCCTTACGTCAGCCAAATGCCAGTTTATCACTTTTAGCCTTAAAAATGTTACACCACTTTTGATAATATAGCAATAATTGCGTCACTAAGAAGACGTCATAAAATTCAAGAGTTTGAATGTTGCTGTAAGAGATGTAAATGTTTATATCACAATAGCTATGTATTTAACGAACAAGTTTATTAATCGCCAATTTTATTAAATTACTGAAAATAACACGAGATATGTAGCAATCAGATATATAATATCTATATATCTGATATTTATAACATGACAACACAATTCCTACGGTTGGCCAAATTAGAATCAAAAAGATCAGTTATTATTTCATTCTAAAGCCCAAACGTTGATAACTTGCGCACTAGTGATTGATGATTCACTCTATCGAACGCTTTTGCGTATATCACATCTAGCTGACTTCTTCGTTCCAATGTTTGCGTTATATCTCGGGAAACACATGTTAGAGTGATTAATAGAGATTTACTCGTTGTAAATCAATGTTGACAAACATCAAGCAGAGATTTTCTTTGGAAATAAATTTAATTATATATATAAAACTGGTACAAAAATTTTGGAAAAATTGCATAGTAACAACATTGGCCTATAATTCTTATCAAGTGCTCTATCACTGCTTTTGAATATTGGCACAATTTTAGCGGTTTTCCATAGGGTAGGAAAGCGGGAAGTTTTTAAAATAAGGTTATAAAGATGTTCCAATGGCTTTAAGAACACCGTCGATCAATCTTTGATAAAAAAGCTTGGAAACCTGAAATTCTAATGTCTTTCAACTTTTTAATGGCTTCGAAAATTGAATCTTCATTGATATTTATTTTAAAACATACACTGCCACAACTTAAAAAGTTATTGAAATTACAGGGGTTAGCTGAGTTGCTAAAATTAGAACTGAAAAGTTTTGCAAAGCTATTAACAAGTTATTGAGAATCGTCTATTAACTTATTATCAAAATAGGCTTACTAGGTACAGTGAAATGGCGTTTTTTCTCTTTAATCTAGGACCCGAAGTATTTAGGAGCAGTCATATAATAACGAAAATATCTTTTTATTACAATCGTTATTGAACGACGTACCTACTGCAAAAAATGTATTCTGAATTTGAAGTGTTCTTTGAGCTTTGTACATTTTAAATAACTTTTGCTTTAGTTTAATCTGTTCTCTGAGTTCCTTTGAACACCAGCTCGGAAAACAAAGTTTCTTACATCTCACCAGAGGTACATACACTTCGGAGTATAGAGCATGAAAATCTGCCTTCTTAAAATTATAAATTTTAGCAGACGTACAGTACACGGAGAACTTATTATGGATATTTTTAACAGCAATATTAACAGATAAGGTGGGATGATATAAATCTTCAGGGACATAGGACACGTACGTATCACATTTCACCAAACAGTTGCAATCGCAGTTGTACACAGGATTATTAAATTTATAGCTTAATATCTAAAAAAGACGTCATATTGCGTAATATGTCAGATTTCGATTCATTTATCTCACTCGCAAAGGAGGCTCCATTCAAGTTGCCAATTAGAATATTCTTACCAAAATCTCTAAACATTCAAAAAAAGATTCAAAGTCGGACACCAATACATCGGGAGGTATACCGTGAGGTTTTTTTTCTCTGAACAGAGAATAATTCATGTTTGTTGGGTTGCATATTTACCCTATAAAAATCAATCAGTAGGGACAACTTGCTATTTTTACTGACCCGTTTGCATGGGTGGTCGTTTGTCTTGTGACCGTATGAGGGTGCGTAACGCAAGGTACTTCTCTTTCTTACGTATTGGTACATTGAACTGCAGTACTTTAGTTATCTAGTGACTTTAATGGGAGAAATTTGAAATTTAGGAGTTCAGTTGCATTGGTTTTGATGCTTTAAGGCTGATCTTCCGGTGGAATTATTTCAGTTAAATGTAATTTTCACAGAGACGTTCTAAAAAACATTCTTCATGTTTTGATGGGACCATTGTTTACTATTTCGTTTTTTTGTAAAAAAAAAAAATAAACGTATGTTAGCATTTCCTAATAACGTTGAATTTTACAGCCATCAAGAC